TCGACCACCAGTTGAAAATTTTAAATACATTTTGCAACGCGCAGTATTTCGATGTTTCTCGCATCGGTATGTATTACTTGAATTAAGTTCTTGTAAAGAGGTGATATCCTCATACTTTGCATCTATTGTTTCAATGATTAAATGTCCCCGCATGTCATCGCTGAGAATATCTCGCAACCATCGCCGTTTTTCAAGTTCTTTGACGTATACTAGCGAATGTTTCTCATCGCCATTTTCTTCCATCGCATAGCGTAGGTCTTCCCTGATTAATTGCGTAACTGCACAGTACGGTATACATCCATCCGCCCATAATAATCCATGATGATTAGCGGTCAATCATGAAACTTGAGACTGTTCAGATCGTTTGAGAAGATTCCACGAATAAGGCGATTTAAAGATATAGTGAGAGAGAACAGCGCCATTTCTCAATATCGCTTCTTCCTTCACGATAAATGTTCCCCCGACGGTGAATCCTTGCATGTCCACAAATGTCGGTACGCTCATAATNAAGAAGAATCCTGCGTATAGCACATTTCTCTGCTTTTTATTCCTTTTTCATGCCGTTCTGTTAGTTGAGTTTGCGCACTATGCTGGTGAGCGGACTGTATTCAACTACGCGATCATGTAGGATGAGACAGTACGCGGTAGTATTCACCGGTATGTTCTCTTTACATTCAAATTCTATTCGCACATCCACAGTGGCACTCTTGATTGATTCATTTTGACGCGAACAATCGATAACCACGAAAGGACCTCGCCGCAGAAAATCATCAGTTGTTAACCATACATCATCACTGCTGCATCTATAGTACGATGTACGAAAACGTTTATACATATCGTAAAGTATAGCGTATCTTCTCTTCGCAAAGTCCAAATTTATATCATCGTACGGATAACACTCTGAATTTAGATAGAGTTTTGCATTGATCAAATTGCAGTTGTCGAATTGAGTTATATTTTCCGCCATGACATTCATCCGACCAGTCTGTAGTGCAAAAATAACATATCGCGGTTTTTCCAAATTAGAGGCAGATTTGACAGGCCACACGTGTTTGGTCGTGTTTTGTAGCAGAGGGAATTCATACAGGTCCCACGAGCGGAAACTCATGCTCAGGTATCGGCCGT